AGAAATAATTAAGGTCAGTTTGGGAATCAAAAATGGTTTCAGGTTGGTCTTCCTGTGCTGATCCATGTACATGCTTGGTTGGTACACTTATGAACATTGGACATATATCCAAGACCTCAAAATTCCTATCACAGTAGCCATGACAGCTACGTTCTCCCTCCACTTTTGGAGGCAGCATGTCACCAACTGCTGGGCGTTACAATTGGGGAGAGTTGCCCTTGTGCTCAAGTCCTGCCTGCCGCCTTCCCATTGAATCCTCTGGCTGGCCACTGTGAGACCAGGATGCTAGACTACATGGGCCTTTGGCCTGATCCAGCTGGCAGGCCTCTCCTTATGCTCTCCTGCTTTTCGGTGCGGCGCTCCAGAGAGTGGTTAAAAAGCTGTGCCAACGGAGAGAGAAGTCACAAGTTCATCGCCGAAGAACATGACAACGTGCGCAAGAAACGTTTAAGGCATTCTGCAAAAGTGCAGCAGCCGGGAGGCGGGGGCTGGGGGGAGGAGGAGGAGCACGAGGGAGAAGAAAACTATTTATTCTTCAACTCCGGGAGAGATCCAGGGACCTCCTCCCCCCGGCCTGCCGCTGAGGGACCTCCATCATGCCTCTGCGCTTATTCATTAATGTCCTTCTTCTGAGCGCATACATTTCCCCCCAGCATATTAGCGACGTGGGAGCTCCTGACATAAGGACATGATGCGTTGCAAAGGACAGCATGTTTTCTTTCCCCGTTCCCCTCTCTAGCCCGCCCCATCCCCAAGGTTTTAAACAAGATGTTTAAGAACATTCGGCGAGGAAAATCAGATAATCCACATCATAAATTTTCAAACCCGCCCCTGTAGCAGCTTGACCTCAGCCACCACCACAAACCCAGCCCAAGTAAAACGTCTTGCAAGACTGCCTCTCCCTGCCCCACCTTCCACTGGCCAGAAGACGCTCAGGCTATGGTTTTGGTGAACCTCCAAACTGGTGAGAAAGCCAGCCGTCTACAGCTTCCTGTGTACCCTATTTGTTAAAAGAAGGCTCTCTATAGATCTTCCTGGGAACATCCTTCCAGTTCCTTCAGTGTTCTTTTAAGTTAGGTTGTTGCTTGCCAGCAGGATGAAGCTGAACGATGCCACCTGGTGGTTGGTGAAATAAACGGACAATGTTTTTCAATGCACTTGAGAGTTGTTCAAGTAATACAGTTGATCCTAAAACATCATATCATGTGATTGTTGCATGCAGACTCCTCCAAGTGTCCCTGTTTTCCAGGGACAGTCCTGGATTTACAGAAGCCATCCTAGTTTCTTATTTGATCACGGAATGTCATGCTTCTCCTTAGACTGTCCCTATTTTCATCAGAGAAATGTTGGAGGGTATGGAGTCATGAGACCCCCGAGACAAGGAGATAAGTAACTGTACAACCTTTAGAATTCATCTGAAGGCAGCCCTGTATAGGGAATGTTTATTAATGTTTTATTATGTTTTTATATACCGTATTTTTTGCACCATAGCACTCACTTTTTTCCTCCTAGAAAGTAAGGGGAAATGTCTGTGCGTGTTATGGAGCGAATGCCTGCGGGTGGCGGGGGGGATCTGCTGCAGTCGTGAGCAGAGGATCCATGGTTCCCCTTCCTTCCCTCCTCCATGGTTACAAAGCATGGATCCACATGGATCCTCAGGATTTTTGCATTGGGCTACTCCAAACTCACTGTCAGATCACATGTCTGTGGCCACAGCATGAACCACAAAAATCATATATCCACTATTTTGTTTAGAATATTTTTTTTCCGGTTTTCCTCCTCTAAAAACTACGTGCGTGTTGTGGTCTGGTGCGTGTTATAGAGCGAAAAATACGGTATGTTGGGAGCCGCCAAGAGTGGCTGGGGCAACCCAGTCAGATGGGCGGGTTATAACAACAACAACAACAACAACAACAACATAAAATAGGATATCCCTATTTTCATTGGAGGGTGTGTTGCATGGAATGAATTACTGCTTTCATCATCCCCTTGAGAGACAATGACCCAAAGGAAACAGTGTGTGGGGCTTGCAAGTAATGAGAATAAATGTCTCTTGTTATTTAGTTATTTTTTATCCAACATACCATGCAATTGCTGAACAGATACTCTTCCACTGATGAATCCCTCCTGCGAGAAGCTCAAGACAAAGCCTTCAGCAGCATGATTAAAATACAAGACTGGTTTGGAAGAAGGTTGAGCCAAGGCAACCCTAGATTCTTAGGGCTGCAAAAATGACCCAGAGCTATGTTAAGAGAGCTTTGTATGAGAGAACTGGGCCAATTGCATACTGAATCCATTTGGAATGCAAAGTAAGCAGGGTCTGCCTTTGAGAATCTTGGTTAGAGAGCAGAAAATAAATTTAAAAAGTTGCTTATTATAGGAAATGCACTACTTGGATAGAAAAGGTGTCTAGTTGTGAACTAGCTAGTTTAGACAAGAACAAGTCACAGGCACACAGCACTTGCTGCTTTTCTTTCCTCAAGAGGGTCAAGTGTGACCTCTCACCTCCCGGTCTGAGAGAGTCGTACAAGGAAGAGGAAGTTGCAGACAGGATGCAACCTAAACCACAATAAGCAGGAAAAGGGAGAGATCAGCACAGAGATGAGTACATTATGGGAATCTGGGGGTTCCTCACTTTATCTTAAATCCATAAAAACCCCTCTTTCGCAGGCTGGGTTGCACCCAAACTTCCAACTCGAGGTGTGTCTGAGGTTGCCCTCATTGCAAGGGCCTGAGACAAAACAGGAGGTGCTGCCCTGCCACCTGTGCCGCCCACCTTGCCCCCTCAGTTGCTGGCAGAGAAGCGGTGCCCACACTGATTTCTGGTGAGATTGCTCCGATTTCCTATGAGACCTCGCATACGCTGCAAGATCTCATGCGATTTTGGCGAGATCTTGACGGAAATGGGCACAATCTCACCCCAGATCAGCACAGACGCCAGTGCTGCTTCTCTGCCAGTGGTGGAGATGGGGGGGCAGAGAAGGGTGCCCATGGGGGTGCTGCCTTGGGGGGGGGCTTCTGCTGCCAGTGGTGGAGATGGGGGGCAGAGAAGGGTGCCCATGGGGGTGCTGCCTTGGGGGGGGGGGCTTCTGCTGCCTGCGGTGGCTCTTCCTTGTTGCATGCCTGGGCCCCTCCCCATGGCTGGGAAGGATGGGGGGAGAAATTCAAGTCAACTCACACCCACTCCCCCAGATTTCCCACCTCCTGGAGAGACACACACAGAGAGAAGGCTACATGCATGCATTTCACTTTCTCCAAAGATCAGAATTATAAGCAGGATCCGTTCCAACAGAATTAATTTGCGCTTGGAAAAGCACATAAAGCTGAAAGAGCACAAAAGCGGGAGAGATCACCACTCTTCCTCCTTCCTTCTATGCGCTTTTCAAGGGAGGAACAGGATACTGCCACACACACACCCCACCTCATGACCAAGTGAGCAGTGATTTGTGGCAGGAGCTCAGAGGCTTTGCAGGTGCCACTGCACCCATGGGCACCACGTTGGCGACCCCTGCTGCCTATGAGACGCTTTCAGAGTCCCACCCATCTCGGTGCTTCCACACGGTTTCGCGCTGCCAAAACCATTTTAACAAGGCATTCCTGGGAGGGCAGGAACAGCGATAACAGGCAGGCCGTGATTTATGGGGACACGCAAAGCAGAGAACAGGGTCTCTCCCTGGTAAATAGGTGCAGCTGGGGAACGATGGGCCTTAGCCAAGCCAGACATCCCATCTGAAGGACGTCTTGGGATTGTGTGTGTGTGTGGGGGGGACCTCCTTTCCTCCTCCCCTGCACACTTGGAATGGCTGGGAGAGGCCTGTGTGCGGTTGTGCGAATAAAGGGAGAGAGCCAAGTCTCTACACAATGGAGATAGGAGGTCGAGGGAAGGCGGGTGGGTCTGGTGGGTGGGTGGGGGGCTTCTGCCAGCATCAGCTTCATTTCTCTAGCAGGCCTTTGCATTAATTGATTCAAGGCTGGCAATAACTGCAGGGTTCCTCTCCTCTCCCTTCCCTCCCCATCAGGCCCCATCCCTGCAATATATGTGCTCCATCCCATCCCTCCCCCCCAAAAAAAATCTCCCCTGCCGTTTCCCACGCAAAAGGAATTCCACTTATTTCCTTGCTGTTGACGAGGACCCCGACCTCCCTGTGCCACATCTGCACCTTCCCAGTCCTCCCCCCGCCCCCCCCCGCCTATCAGTCTGAATGGAGAGGCTGGAAGAGGAACACATGGCAGCGTGTGAATGTGAGTGCAGTGAGGAACACCCCTAAAATGTGAGCCTCTGCTGGTTGAACTGGAACGCTCTCTCAACCCAAGGGCCACGTTCCCTTCGGGGCCACTTTCCAGGGGCCACATGTCCCTGGGAAATCTGTGTACATTTTTATTTTTTTTGTACCACGGGCTGTACAAAAACTGACAAACCTAGATAGCATCTTAAAAAGCAGAGACATCACCTTTCCAACAAAGGTCCGTATAGTTAAAGCTATGGTTTTCCCAGTAGTGATGTATGGAAGTGAGAGCTGGACCATCGAGAAGGCTGATCGCAGAAGAATTGATGGTTTTGAATTTTGGTGCTGGAGGAGACTCTTGAGAGTCCCATGGACTGCAAGGAGATCAAATGCATCCATTCTTAAGGAAATTAGCCCTGAGTGCTCACTGGAAGGACAGATCGTGAAGCTGAGGCTCCAATACTTTGGCCACCTCATGAGAAGGGAAGATTCCTTGGAAAAGGCCCTGATGTTGGGAAAGATGGAGGGCACAAGGAGAAGGGGACGACAGAGGACGAGATGGTTGGACAGTGTTCTCCATGTTACCAGCATGAGTTTGACCAAACTGTGGGAGGCAGTGGAAGACAGGAGTGCCTGGCGTGCTCTGGTCCAGGGGGTCACGAAGAGTTGGACACAACTGAATGACTAAATAACAACAACAGCAGGCTAGAGAAAGGTATTTGCAACCTTTCCAGACCCCCTTTAAACCCAAGCCTACATTTGGGGGCTGAATCAGTATAGCTCAGTCAGTAGAGCAAGAGACTCCTAATCACAGGGTCATGGGTTCGAGTCCCATGTTGGGCAACATGGGGTTTCAGGGGGTTGGACTAGATGACCCATGTGGTCCCTTCCAATTCTACAATTCTATGATCCAACGCTGAACCAACTTGTCTATATCTGCTTCTGGACTTCTCATCCTGCACTCGCAGTACTTCAGCTGAGGTCACACTGGCTCAGAATAAAGTTGGACCTAGTGGTTAGAGCAGGGGTGGGGGACCTGAGGGTTCTCCTTGTGCTCTTTTGCTTGTGGCCCCACTCACCATGCGGCCCTTGGAAGGTCACCCAGAAAGGAATGTGGCCCCCTGTCTGGAAAAAAGCTCCCCACCTGAGTTAGAGAGCAAGAGAAGAGGCTGGAGGAAGATAGAGAAGAACTGAGAGGGTCCGGGCTGCTTTTGCGAGTCTCTCTCTGCTAACTAGCCGGGGCAGGATTCCGGGTGGGGGTCTTTCTCCGTCTGTCTGTGGCCTCCCTGCCTGCCTCCCTCCCACTCTCTCGCCGCGGCCGGAGGTTTCCTTCTTCCTCCTCCTCCTCTTATTCTTCCCCGACTCCGGTTCCCTCCTGGCAGGGGCTCAGATCGGCGCCTTAGAAGGGCAAAGGCGGGGAGTGGGACGCCCGCTCCGTCTGCGGCTCCTCCCCATCCCACCCTGGCTGGGAAAAAAGGGGAAAGGAAGGGGAATGGGGGGCCCCCGGGCTGTCAGAGCGCTGGACGGCAGCGGCGCGGCAGGGCAGGGCGATGCTCCGGCGAAGAGGAGGACGAGGACGGCCCAGGCCGCGGCTGCTGCTGCTGGCGCTGCTGCTTGTAGCTTGGCGGCTTCCCGGCGCTGGGGCGCAAGAGGCGCAGGCCGCCTGCGGCCCCGACGGCTGCTACGCCGTCTACTTCCAGCGCCGCAGCTTCCTGGACGCCTGGCGCGGGTGCCGGGAGCTGGGAGGCAACCTGGCCACGCTGAAGTACCCCGAGGAGGCGGCCCAGGTGGCCGAGCTGCTCCGCGATGTTCGAGGGGGCGGCGGCCACGCGCAAGGCCCGCAACGGCTCCTCTGGATCGGGCTGCAGCGCCAGCCGCGCCAGTGCTTCCCGCAACGGCCGCTGCGGGGCTTCACTTGGACGACGGGCGACCAAGACACGTCCTACACCAACTGGGCGCGCTCGCCTAGCAGCGGCGTCGGGGGACCCAGCTGTGCTGCGCCCCGCTGCGTGGTGCTGGGCGAGCTGGACCTGCAGTGGCTCGACGGCTCGTGCACCGTCCCAGTCGACGGCTACCTCTGCCGCTTCTCCTTCCAGGGGATGTGCGCGGGCCTGGCGGAAGAGGAGGAGGAGATGGAGGAGGAGGAGGAAGAAGGAGGAGGAGGTGGAGGAGCCTCGACGGTCGCCTACAGCACCCCGTTCGGCCCGGCCAGCGGCGCCCTCCGCTACGTCCCCTTCGGCACGGTGGCTGCCGTGACCTGCGGCCGGGCGGGGCCGGCGGTGTCGGTGCTGTGCATGCAGAAGGAGGACGGCAGCGTGGCCTGGTCCAAGGACGCGCCACTGTGCCGGGAGGCCGTCTATCAGCACAGCTGGTGCGAGGGGGACAACGGTGGGTGCCAGCAGCTCTGCCTGGACGAGGGCTCGGGCTACTCCTGCGAGTGCCACGCCGGGTACTTCCTGCTCCCCGACGGACACTCCTGCGCCTCCCACACCCACCACGACGGCGGCGCCGACGGAGACGCCTGCCGGGGCCGCCCGTGCCAGTTCGGCTGCGTGGCCGACGGGGAGGCGGCAGACGGGTACCGGTGCCAATGCCCCGCGGGCTACGAGCTGGGCAGCGACGGGCACCTGTGCGAGGACCTGGACGAGTGCGCGGAGGCGCCTTGCGAGCACCAGTGCGAGAACACCGACGGCTCCTTCGTGTGCCGCTGCCACCTGGGCTTCAGCCCGTCGGAGGAGGAGCCCGGCCGCTGCGCCGACACCGACGAGTGCCAGATCCCCGGCGTGTGCCAGCAGATGTGCGTCAACTACGTCGGGGGCTTCGAGTGCTACTGCACCGAGGGCTACGACTTGGAGCCTGACGGCATCACCTGCAGCCCCGCGCCCCACCCACCCCCGATGGCCACCGCCCAGAGCTACCGCGGAGCCGGCTTCCTACACCACCTCGACGACGGGCTGGGTTTGGAGATGGAGGGCGAGCTCGAGGACGGCGTCGAGGAAGAGGATGACAGCGATCACAACCTGGCCCTTTCCGAGCACCTCTCCGTTTTCCAGGACGCCAGAGTCGCCTCTCCATTCTTCCCCGCAGACCCCCGCCTGGTTCCCCGCATGCTGCCGGCCACGGAACCCCCAAACCCGAAGTCGACCGCGCCCCTTTTAGACGCCAGCCCCTCCTCCCGACGTTCTCGCATGCCCCCCAACTCCACCCCCACCGCTGCTTGGGGCCTCCCCACTGCCTCCCGATCCCCCTCCCCGTTCCCCGTAACGGACGCCCCCCGAGACACACCGAGTCCCCCTTCGCTGCTGGCGGATCCCACATCCCCGACGGCCCCGCTCGCTCCGACGATCGCTCCGCCTCCCCTCCACCGCCCTCCCGTCTCGGCTGATTCGCCTGGTGAGGAGGAGAGTCCCGCGGTGGTCGGGGGAGTCCGAGCAGCGCCCCCCACTTCTGCTCCCCCCGCCACTCCAACCCCCGACGGGGCGCCCGGGCGGCAGCGGAGGGATGACCGGTGGCTGCTGGTGGCGCTGCTGGTGCCCATCTGTGTCTTCGTGGTCATCATGCTGGCACTGGGCATCGTCTACTGCACCCGCTGCGGTGCCCAGGCCAAGAGCCGCAGCGTCACCCAGTGCTACCGGTGGGTGATCAGCTCGGCGGGCAAAGGGGCTCCCCCGACGGCCTCCAGGCCTGGCCAGCCGGCCACGTGCAGAACCAGCGTCTGAGCCCTGGGCCGGCCAGCTGCGCTGTGCCCCCCCCCACGCCTGCCTGGCACAGAACACTCCGCTGCTCACAGCTGGCAGGAAAGCTGGATCCTCAGAAAACCAACACCACATGTGGTCAGTTATATCTGACCACAACCAGGAAACGACAGAGGCCTCTTACTTGGCTTGGAGCAACGTAGGAACCCGATCATTGGTCCATCTGGTTCAGTATTGTCTACACGGACTGGCAGCAGCTCTCCTGGGTTTTAGATGGGGGATAATTCCGGGCCTGCCTGGAGATGCCACTACGGATTGAGCCTGGAACTTCCTGAAATGTGGGGCAGATGTTCTGTCCCTGAACTACTGGGAAGAGAGCCCAGGGACCCAGGCCAGGCCAGCTGGAAGGCTGCTGTGGCAAAGAGACTCTTGACACTGGACCAGAGCTGTCCCTCCCTGGCTGGGACACAAGAAACGCCATACAATGCTGGGAATGTCTGAACCAGGAACTTTAAGAACAGAGGTCCCTCCAGATCAGCACTGGACGGGCAGCGCCTCTCCAGGGTTTCACGCAGGATCCCCCCTCCCCCTCCTCCAGGGGCACAGTTGGGCAATCTGAGACTGAAGTTGGGGGTCTTATGGGGATGGGGGAGAAGCCTTCGGCAGATGGAGAGGCGTGCGACTTCAAAACGTAACCAGTCCTGTTGCATTTGCGCTCTCTGCCGGGGAGGCTCGCCCTTCCCCAACACCGTGGGGGGCGGGGTGGGGGGTGCAGAGTTCTCTCTGATCTGCCACACAGAGCACACCCTGCTAGTTGGGGACGCACTGTCACCTCAGGACAGGGGTGCCGACTTGAATAACATATTGGGGGCCCAGGTAAGCCTTGCCCCACGATCACAAGACGAGGCACGCACGCACCATTTGAATGGCAACACCCAGCAACTTTAGGGGAGCCCAGCCCACTCAGATATTTTATTGGGGTGGGGAGAAGAGACCTCGGGCCCCTAGGAATGGGCTCCTTTGCCTCAGGATGTCAAGAACCCCTTTAATGCCCCTGGGGTGCACACAAGCTAGGAAAAGGGGTATCTAGCTGGGGGAGGCTGGGCCCACACCAATGCCTCTCCGCCCCCCATGCCACCCCCTTGTCCATCTGGTCAGAGGGGCCGGAGGGAGGAGGGACACTCTTGGGCTGAAGCCTCTGGGTCCCAAGAACCCCTCTCATTGCAGGCAAAAAACTCCATGCCCTTCTTGAGTTGGGGTGTGGGATGAGGAAAAGGCCCACGCTGGGATGGGACCCCAATTCATGATTTGCACCCGCCCCTCCCTCCCGCCCCCTTTGCAAAAGAAGTGCATTCCAGACCCACGCAGTGGAGGGGGGAGGCAGATTCAGAAAGCGCACTCCAATGAGGAAGACAGATTTTTCGCTTTGGCCCAGGTGCCAGCAGGGCGCGTGTGTGTCTTGTTGCAAAGAGGCGAGGTGTGGGGTGGAGGGTGGGGAGAAGGGAGGAAGGAAGGATGGAGGGGCCGAGGTGGGCTGGGGGTTGGAAACGCAGATCTCTGCATGCCAGGAAAGGGTCTGCACTGATCGTGACTGCTGATGTACTTTTCCTTTGTGGGGGAATTGTTCCCCCTTGGTTATTTTTTCTTTTACATTTTTTTTCGTTCCTTCTTCTTTTCTTTCTTTCTTCAGTGTGTCCAATAAAAGGGCTGGCGCCTCCACCTGGCTGGAATGAGAGGAGAGTCTTATGAGAACAGTTGGTGGTGGTGGTGTGGGCGGGGAGGAAACGGGGTGGGGGGTAAGAAAGAGAGAGAGAGTGGCTGAGAGGATCCCATATTTCTAGCGCTCAGGGCAGAATTAGGTTAAGGTGACCAGATTCAGAGCAGGGAGAGTCCTCCTAGGTTAGTGGGGGGCTGCAATGGTTAGGGGGTGGCAACAGTGATCCCTTTTAGAGTCCTGGGCCGGCTGGTAGCCATTGGTGGGACATGAGGACTAGTTGGCTGAAGAGTAGTAATATGCCAAGTGGTAGGGAGATCAGGAGATCTGGGTGCTGGTTCTTTCTCTGGAAAGCAAGTGGATTCTGGTCTGTTAAGAGGAGGGAGGGGAAGGTGAGATTAGTGACCAGGGGCACCTCATCAAGTCTGGAATTATTA